CGGCACCACCACCGGCGGCCGGGTCCCGCCTGCCGCTCCCGTCTTCCCAGAGCCACTGGCGCCACCTGCGGGCCCCGCGCCAGTCCTCGGGGCGGCCCGAGCGCCGCGGCTCGGAGTCCGACGCCAGCTACGGGAGGCTGGCGGTTACTCTGGCTCTCGCGTGACTTCGGCTGCGGGAGCTTCTGCGACCTCTCCCGCTAAGCTACGGGGCTTAACTAAGGCCCCCGAAGGCGCCCAGCTCTTCCAAAGGCATTCTGCCTGGACTTCTAGATTACTTCAGTCCTCTCAGTAGCTTCCTGACGCCATTTTTAACCGACTTCCCTTCTAGCTTCAAATACTCTTCTAACTTGGTCCTGGTCTACAGTGGCTTAAGCACTGTCTTCTCAGACTTTGCCTTCTAACTTCTGCACCACCAGGAATTAAACTGATGGGCTTTAAAAAAAACTGATTATGATTAACAATTTCATTTTAGTGCCTGGTAGTTTTATCCAATTTTTGGCTTCAAATCTCCTACTTTTTGACGTCTATCTTGTACGCTTGTCCAATAGTTGTCTCAGCTCCTGATTTTCTCCTTCTATCTGAAACTTCTCCTTGCCAATATTTTCATTTTCTATCTTGCCTCTTCTACTTTTCTTCTATTTTGGCCTCAAGTGCTTTTCTTCCCTAGTGTGTCTAAATATTTCCTCTTCTCCCTGTCTGGGTTTTTATTAGCTTTTGTCTTCTAAGGCACATCTCTCTTCCGGTTTTCCTATCTTCTCTACTTCTCTAGTCTTCTTCACCTTCCTCTACTTCTGTCTTCCACTTCACGTTTCTAATCTTCGCATCTCTAATCTTCTCCAAATTGTTCTTATTTTATCCTACCACTCCCCGTTTCTTCCTATTCTCGTCAGCTTTTAGCAAATGCCTTGTAAGATTTAAGGAGGCTTTAAATAACACATTTCTTCCTGCGTGTTACTTTCAAGATCTTTTTATCACCACCTATTTAACTCCTTTTTAAACGAACGCCTCCAAATTGTTTTAGCCGCCTACAGATTGACTTTCTAAAATCACGTTTAGGCCGTTTTAAAAATCCTTCCTTTGAACACTCTAACGCGTTGCCCTTCAACTTCAAAGTTTTCCATTCAGGACTCTGTAAGCCCTCCTTCCTCCTTCAGCAATTTCTTATAAAAGATTAGCTTTTTGCTCCGTAAAGAAGCTTCATCTTTTATCCTCCGTCACGGTTTAGAAATTCTTTCTTCACTTCCTTTCTCGGGCTACTTTTTAAATAAGTCTTCATATTTTCTTTTAAATAAGATTTTTTTTTAAAAAACGATCTCAACACCTAGCGCTAAGCGATATCTCGGTGACTTATGGGCTAGTTAGCGTTTTTTTAAAGAGCTGCACTAATTCCTAATCTTTTTTTTAAGGAGGAAAAACTTATCTGCGGCTTTCCCAGCTTCGCCTCCCGCTCCAACCACCGTCGCTGCGCTCGCTGCCTCAATGCCTGCCGCAGCGTCCGGGGCGGCGCATTTATAGACGGGGGACAACTCACACCCCGAAGGAGGTAACCTTCCGCCGCCTCTGCGAGGGGAGCAAAAAATAGTCCCGGGGAAGGGTTAAAAATAGATTCTGATTGTTCGAGAGTTTCTAGATGTTTCTTACCGGTGTCTGGAACTGGATTGCGAGACTTTTTACATATATATATATACACTTATGGGTATTGCATTGAATCTGTAAATGGCCTTAAGTTTTAGATTTTTCTTACCGGTGTCTGGAAATTGATGGCAAAGGACATACCCAGAAACGTTTTTAACGCTTGCTAGCCAGTCGGTAGGCTGGAGCTGAAAACGCAGGTATAAAGAATCACGTTTATGATTTATATTCCTAGCTGCTTAGTTGGGCTGGAAATCCCTTTTAAACAGGTCATCAGGCAGCTCACAAAAACCCGCAGCCGGCCCTGGCCGTGGTCATGGTCAGGCCATGTTTCCTAGTTTTGGCCCCCTCCCCTACCTTGGGGAAGCGAATCACCTCTTTCTACTTTTAAATAATATTCTCTAATCTAAAGAGTCAATAACAACAACCCGGAGCCATTTAAACTCCGAAGATGCCTTTTGTGATTCGGGGGGAGCATGGGGGGGTACCCGGGAAGCTACTGGAAGAGGGTCCACGCGGGTTTAACGCGGGTTTGCCGGCGGCCCCACTTCCATGACGTCACCGACCAGGCCTCGGCCTCCAAAGGCCAAAATGGAGTTTCTCCCCCGCGACCCACGCCCGCCCAGCTCAGGAAGGCGTTTCCCACGGAGCGCGGCGCCCCGCGGCCTTTGCAAACGCGAGCGTTTCTCAGCGTTCAAGTCTCCCGGGAAAGTTCCCCGAAGCCACGTCGCCGCAGAAACCAAGTTCAAGGGTGGGGGGTGTCTTTCAACGTAGCCCCCAAGGCGGGTGGCTCTCAGCGACCTCGGCAGCCAGGGAGGGACACGGCGAGCGTTGAAGGGGGCCTCCTCGATTCTGGGTCGTCTCTACTTGGGTCTAAGCTTAACACTTTGTAAATGGCGCTGGGGGGGAATAAAAGCGTTCCTCCAAACCCTTTTTTTTTTTTTTTGCGCGGCTTGAGTGGTTTCCTTTAAATAACACCCCCTCCCCACGGGACGGTCACCCTAAGGGGACAGTTAGGAAAACACATGGCCCGGACCGGCAGCAGCTCCAGGCCTCTAAGCGGTTAAGATGGCCGCCGCGACGGTGGGGATGGGGGGGCACCGGGCGGGAGATCGCCGCTCTCCCCGGGCCCCGACCATCTCCGAGGCCGCCTAGGAGACACCGGGGCCGGGGCCGTCCGGAAGCCCGAGGCCCGCGTCCTTCCGGGGAGGGGACAGCGGGGCGCGGGGACAAAGGCTGGGGGTGGGGCGCGGCCCGAGGTTCCCCCCCCCGACCCGGCGCCGCGCAGGGATACGCGGGGCCGTGAGCCGCCCTCGCTTTGTGCGGCGCCGGCCGGCGGGCGGGAGCGGCCAGTTCTAACCGGCTCCAGCCGGTCTCGGCCGCCTTCCCGGGGACGCGGCAGTTGGCGCAGCGCGCCACTGCGCACGCGCTCCCCGCCCCCCGCGCCGGGCCTGAGGGGGGGCGGTGGCGGCGGCGGGTGCTGCCAGGTTGGGGGCTTCTTGGTCGCCACCCGGTTCCCTCCCCTCGCTCGGAGGCTGGTGTGCGTGTCGCCGAGGCCTGCCAGCCCTCCCTCTCCCTGGCCCTCTGCCGCTTCCTCCCTCTTGTCTCGGTGTCGCCCCTTCGTGAAAAACGCGCGCGCGACCCTCCCGTCGCGATCCGAGGCGGGTCCGCGAATCGCGACCCCGTTGGGCGGGTTCTAGGTCGCCGGGCCCGAAGCGTCTGGGACTGCCGAGGCGGGAGGGGCCGCGGGCCGAGCCAGCTGCGGCGTTATTGTTGTTTTTATTTATTTTTATTTTTAGGAAAGACTGGAGCAGTGACACAAAAGGGTTCCGTGGGTGGTGACAGCCACCCTCTCCTGCCCCCCCCCGACCCCGGTCCCCGGGTCTGTATTCTGGAACCCGTCAAAAGACTTGGTTTTAGGGAGGACATTTAGGACGGAGGTTGGCTGGCGATCCGTGGGAACCGGGGGAAATCGAAGCCTTTTATTTTGGGGAGTGGGGCGTGTCGCTCTGTCGCCCAGGCCGAAGTGCAGTGGCTCGATCTGCTGGGCTCAGCCTTCCAAGGAGCTGGAACTGCAGGCACACGCCACCACGTCTGGCTAATTTTTTTCTTAATGTATTTATTGTACAGATGAGGTCCTGCCAAGCTGCCCAGGCGGGTCTCAAACCCCTAGGCCCGGGCCATCCCCGCCCCCAAAGCACTGGGATTACCTTTGATTTTTAAAAACTCCTCTGGCTCATGAAAATGCCAGGGATTGTTGGGGAGGGGACGGGTCTGGGAGCTGCAGGGAGGAAGGGGGTGACACCCTGTGCCCCCCACCCCACCCCTTCTGCAGAGCTGATGTAAGCAACTCTTCTCAGTGGGTTCTGGTGAGGCTGTTCTGTTTTTTTCTCTTGGTTTATTTATTTCTTTGTTTATTTTTTGAGTGGGAGTCTCACTCTGTCACCCAGGCTGGAGGTCAGTGGCACGCTCCCAGCCACCGCAGCCTCGACCTGCTGGGCTCCGGCGATCCTTCCGCCTCAGCCTTCCAAGTAGCCGAACTACAGGCACGCACTGCTACGCCCGGCTATTTTTTACTTTATTGTAGAGACAAGGGCTCACCAAGTTGCCTGGGCTGGTCTCAAACCCGCGGGCTCAGGCAATACACTCACCTCAGCCTCCCAAAGCACTGGGATTACAGGCAGAGCCACCGAA